CAGGAATCAAACACAGGACTGCTCTCATTATTCAGCTCAGTCAGAAACATATTACTGTACTGATTTTTAACTACAATCAATGGGGAACTGAAACCTAATTGAGGATGAGTAGTTAGTCTATGCCTAGAACCAGAAATACAGCAAATACGAATGACCTGACAAGAAAGCCCACCATAGTACAGCAAATTTGTATTAGAGACCAAACATTACTGAATACTAAAAGATGTGTCCAGAAGAACCTGCACTGGAGTTTTAATATCCAATATAAACAATGAAAATACTGAAGTCCAAAATTTGTGACTTTGAGACTTAATATGAAACGATCCATTTGACGCATAGAATTATTAGAAATCAGTTTATTCACAAAATTAGTTGAGAATATTTGTGCAGGTGTTACGTGCTTGCAAATCTTAATTCCCTCCACAGTACGGTACCTTCTGCCTTTCAGTCAACATGTCTCCTGTACCTAATTGTGTCAGCTCATGTTCTAATACTGTTGTGCTTCATTAGTCCTAGCTCAAAAAATTTATTACCATAAAGTTAGCAGTTCCAATTCACATAATCAGATACAGATGTAATCCAGATCACTCAATGAATATTCCAATACGTGGACTAGGGATAACAATTTATTCAATGAGTAAAACCCAAAGCTCCATAAAAGATTGTAACGCATTACTAGATCTATACGAGCTGTCTAAGTAAACAATTTTGGATAATTTCAGATCTCAGCTGAAAACTGCAAATTTAAGGCAATAATCATTCCCTCAAACTTTATAAGATCTAGCAGGAACTTGGAATAAGAAAGCAAGAGAAAATTTGAGCACTCTGCATACAATTAAAACACATCTGAGCTAAATTTAGCTCTCACAATTCCTGTTGGACAGCTATCTTATGAGCTGAATGCACTTATCTAACCGATTCTCTTTCATTTCTATGTCTAGTAAAATGCTAAAACGCGAATTTAACTTCTCAGCTATTTCAAAGGGAATCTTGAAATATCACTTTTAATCTAACTGACTCAGACAAACACATCGATTGCCTGTGTAGTCTTCCTCAAACTGAGCCAGTTATCACTTTATAAACTTGTGTCCATCATACTAACAGCAAAAGCAGATTATCTAAAGCCTTTACTTACTTCTTATCTATCAACAATAAGTAAGAAAAGGTACATGCAGGACAAACATGAAAATAACAAACTAGCATAATACCATTTTAGGATATTATTAATTCTTAAAACTCATTAAAAATAATACAACTAACATTGAAAATTTGCCTTGATAAATTTGAGGTATCACCCAAGAATACAACAGTGAAATCTTGCACAGGGAACTTCCTCAATATTATGAGATCAAACATCAAAGATCCCAGAAAGTATCACTTAGTGATGTTTTTAAAGGGGCGATATTTAATATAAACACTTTCCATTAACACAACTACAATAAAATCTCCTAAAAGAAACTTAGCTTTGACAACAGAAAATTGAGTGGTTAAATCTAGCCAAGGCAGTTCTGTTTAGAATAGGCATTTAGGAAAATAATAATTTTAATAACTTTAAGAAAAATAATCTTGTTGTACAAAAACTCTACTGGGAAACCAATGGATCCCAAATGCAAAACAAAAATCTCGCACTCTGAAAGCTTGTTAAACACTTCTCTAGGGAATATAGCTTCCTTTAAAAACACTGCCAGACAACTTCAAAAAAAATGCTGTAGTGGCCAATCAAGATGGTGCATATACATGCTTACATTGAAACAAAACAACATTGAAAACAAGTTGGTCCATGGATTTTTCTAGTTTATTTGACCAGTTCTACTTTGAAGGGTCAAAGTCTTCAGGAATATTTCACGACCTCCTTATTAAAATATCTGACCTGTCAAGTCAATTTAACTTTAAAATCCCCGAAATTTGTTAACAATAAAGGGATACTTCCTATAGGCACATGGTGTAAACATTAAACCTGCACTATTTCATCAAAGCAAGCAAAATAAGTTCGATTTATTCAGAAAATTGCTGTACATTGATTCTTTTTGGCAGATGACAATGAGAAACTGCATGACAACAATCTTCAAATGCACTGAAATGTTATACAAGAACCTACAATGCAATCTTGGGGTTCAAGTCAAAATAGTAAACCCCTACAGTTTTGCAAGAAGTCACTTACATTCTCAGGATCTCTTAATTCTCTAACAGACAGAAACATATAAAAGAGCAGGGTAGGCCATTTTACCCTTTAAACCTGCTCCACCAATCAACTTGATCATGGCTGATCATCCTACTCAGCACCCTGTTCCCAATTTCTCCCCATACCCTTTAGCCCTAAAAATTATATCTAACTTCTTGAAAACATTCAATATTTTCGCCTCAACCACTTTCCTTGGCAGAGAATTCCACAGGTTCAACATACTCCGGGTGAAGAAACTTTCTCCTTGTCTCATGCTAAATGGCCTATCCCCATCTTTAAACTATGACCCCTGATTGTGGATTCCCCGAGATTGGGGACATTCTTTCTGCATTTAAACTGTCCAGTCCAGTTTGAATTTGACAGGTTTCCCCCATTCTTCTGATCTCTAGTCAAGGTAGTCGTAAAAAAAATCCAGTTTCCCTTCATACGTAAGACCATCTATCTCAGCAATCAATATGGTAAATCTTTGTTGCACCCTGTTTATAGCCAGAACATCCTCCCTCAAATAAACAGACCAGAACTGCACACAGATGTGGTCTCAACAAGATCTTATACAATTGCAGTAATCTGCTCCTGTACTCATTCTTTTGCTATGAAGTATGTTGACTTCTTCACCGTCTACTACACCGGCATGCTTTCTTTCAGTGACTGGTGTACAAGACACCCACATCTTTTTGCACCTCCCCTTCCAATCTATCAGCATTCAAATAATAATCCTGCCTTTCTGTTTTTGCAGCCAAAGCAGATAACTTCACATTTACCCAGACTATACCTCATCTACCATGTATTTGCCCACTCACTCAACACATCCAAATCACATTGAAGCATCTCTGTATTCTTGTCACAATTCAGCTTTATGTTGCCTGCAAACTTGGAGATATTGCATTGAGTTCTCTCATCTAAATCCATTAATATGTAGTGAATAGGTGGGGTCCTAATACTGACCCCTACGTCACTGCTCCCCACGAGTCACTGCTTACCACTTAGAATCTTAACATCTGAACTGTTATTCGATATACATCATGCTACTCCATATTCATCGCAATGTATGTCATCTTTAAATAGTCATCTACTTCACCAGTACATCTAATAAATACTATCCTTTTAAACTCTATCCAGACTACATTTTCAGCTGTAGTGCTACAAAAACAAACATGCATTGGAAGAAAACTGAAGCAACTGATCAAGGAATAAGACTTTCAGATAATCTAAGTAAATGAGTGACAGTGGGCTCATCTGGGACAGATGCAATTACAGTAATTTGAGACAGTCAGTTCTTCTAGACTGGTACAATACCTTTCACAAGGCAGCTGTGCCTTTTCAAATTACCCTCTCCATAATGCTGTCTTTGGGAGTTGTGAAAAAAAAGGCATGTCGCAGCAAGAAACATGTTATAAAGAGGGTTTTATACAATTTGATGACTAGTATTAAAGATCCAGTAAGAACGTTCCATCTTTTTTTCAAAACTGGTCCAGTTATCAATGGCTGCATGTATAATTTTTCTCTAACATAGTTTGAGCCCCGTGACACAATGAGCCATCAATACTACTGACAAACCTATGTTTGAACAGACTTGGTGTTATTCAAAAAGATAACACTGTTCGAACTGCTTCAAATCAGTTCTTGAATTCAATCAAATACAGTCCAATTTATGTACCACAATGAATAGATTATAGCCAACTAACATCTGAAAATTGCAATTTTAAAGTCTTCTAGATATTAACTGGTACAGAATTTTCATGTCTCTATTACAGAGTTCAAATGCAGAATGAAACCATTAGTCATTGTCATATTTGCAAATTTTATCAGATAATTTGTAGCTCTTGAGAATGTACTCCAAGAAGACACCAGGGTCTGATTGCTTCCTGATCAAAACATTATGAGTAGAGGCTCATGTCACTAACGATCACATTTGATAAGTTTAATTTAGAACCTACAAAGAGCAGAACCAATCTGTTATGAACTTTTACTACCCTGAAGATTAAAATGGATTAGTTACATACTGAACCAAATTGTCATGCCAGTCATGTTGTCCCACTTTTCAAAACGGCATTTTGCAAAATCCTTATGAAGGCTTTACAGTTGACATACTAAATAGTGTACTGTCTCTACACAGCCTGCCCAGCTTGCTACATGTAAGCATTTTCAGTTTTTGTTCGTTTCCAGCATCTACATTTTCTTTATTTTTCCAAATTCTATTTTAATATATACCTTAACAGTTTTAAGTATACATTATACAGCAATACAATCGCTCAAAATTCTAGAATGCTTCCTTGTAATTCAAAAAAGTGGACTGAATTTTTGTTTACCAAGCTGAAAAATACTGTTGATCAACGCATGGCAAAATAAAATTCTCAAACCAGATGGCATCCGACTGTGCGGGGGCAACAAAACTTAGAAAAAAGTTGCCACTCACAAAGAAACTTTTTTTTGTTGCGTGCATTTCTCGCCCGTTTCCAAATACAGCGTGCATTGGTCGGTAATGTGATCTCTCGCCGTGTTGTGTTCCGAGCCATGGGCATAGTGCCATGTAAACAGGGTACAAGATCAAATTCCGTTCAAATCAATAGATCCAAACTGAATTCAATCTGTTGTGTACATGGATTAAGGAGTTTGGGGGATGGGACTGGGCGAGAGGGAAAGAAAATTCTAAACCCTAACGTCAATATTAACTTCGAATAACCTGGAGAGCCATCAGCGCTCTCAGTCTGAAGTAAATGGAGTCACTGCAATCCGAATGAACGCAGAATCAGCAATGGCTACTTAACACCCTCCCCCACTTCGAGAGGAAGCGTTTTGCAGTATGATTTATACTCACACTCACCTCCATGCAGGCCGCGGCGGACGGGTCATTCTGCCGGTGCTCAGTGTAAAGGTGATGCCGCAGCAGCGTGGTTCGCCTGTAATTGCGGCTTCCTTTCACGAACTTGTTGCGGTTATTGTTGCTCCCCACCCCGCTGTTGGCCCGCAGGCACCAGGAGCAGTACATAAGGCCCGTCTCCTGCTCGTACTGAAGCCACGGGAACTCCTGCAGCCACGACCTCTGGAAAGTGCGCTGCTGGGGCAGCAGGAAGGACTGGGGCCGGCCGAGTAGGGTCAGCCCGAATCCTCTCCGGCTGCAGCCACCGCCGTTTCCCTCCTCGTCCTCCTGGCCCACAGCGCCTCCAGCTCCTTCACCGGGCGTCGCGGCTCGCTCCTTGCTGCCGGGCCCGTCCATCCCTTCCAGCTCCCCGTCCGGCGGTGGCGGCGGGGGCTCCTCCTCCTCCTCTTCCTCGGACTCGTTGCTGCTGATTGAGCCGCCGTCGACCACCCGCACCGAGGAGACCTCTTGCTCCGGGTACTCGTCGTCCACCACCACCGTCTCGACCCAGTCCTCCTCGGCGGGGGGCGCAGCCGGGGGGGCCTCGGCCTGGGCGCCGTCCAACGCGGGGAGGGCAGCCGATTTGGTCGGACTAACGGACGGGAAGGCCCCGTTCGAGGCCTCGCTGCTACTGCTGCCGCCGCCGTTGTTTTGGTGGTGGTGGTGGAGAGGCCCGAGCTCGGGGTCAATCCTGACGACGGAGGCTCCGGTGCGGAAAGCCAGCGATCGCCTGTTCCTCTCGCCGGACATGGTGGATCAGGGAGGGGACGGGAGGGGTCGCTGATCCGAGCGTTGGCCGGAGGGGAGGGAAGGAGTGGAGGAGGAGGAGGAGGGGGGTGGTGGAAGAGGAGGTTGCCTTTCCCGCGATAACCTCTTTTTATTTCCACTCCCCCAACCAGAGCCTCAATCTCCTCCTCCAAACTCCGGAGAGGTCGGATGAATTACGGACGGTATAAAGTTGCGAGCGGACAGGCCTTGTCCGGGAAGGTGCCAAACGGCGGCTTCTTTTACACCCCCACCTCCTCCAGATGTTGTTTTGTTCGGGGGTCCTACCCCCCCACCACCATCAACAACAACAACAACAACAACAACAACAACCACAACCGCCGCCACTTCCTCCTCGTGCACGGTCCAGGCTCCAGCCGCTCGCGCTCCGCCAGCGCCAGCGGCTTCGAGTCCGCGAGACACGCAGCGGACGCCAACGGGCAAAGCTCCCAGAGTGCACCGCGCGCCGCCACCACCGTCTCCATCCTTCAGGGCCGGGCTCCGCTTCCAGGTCAAGCAGCCAATCACTGGGGGTCAGCGCCGTTCATTTCGATGTAGATGGCAGGTAGGTAAATCTCTTTTTCTCTCTCTACCTATCTACATCAATCCCTCATCTCTCTTAGCCTGTAAATATAATATTGTATGTGTAAGAAAGGTCATTGGTGTTTTTTTTATTTTGACTCTTGCCCACCAAACTCCAATGTCTTGTCTCCTTGATCTGCGACTGGGGAACAGAACTGTGTCTGTGACAATGTACACACAAAGATATTTTTATAATCAAGTATCATTCCTCTTTTGAAATGCGGAAAAAGTTGACTCCCACATTGCGATTTCTCGTGATGGTACGGCTCAGCGTGGGATGAAGGAAAGTGGCCCTTCGGCCCGTCGTCACTAACATCTGCATCTGTTCTGAAATAAAACCAAGAACCGGGAATGCGAAAGATCCCAAAACAGAATGCTTCTGCCGAAGTAACGAAGAAAGCACAAGTTCCTGTAGAGACTCAGCAGGTCTAGCAGTGTCTGTGGAGGGAGAGATAGCGGAGTCATAATGTTTCAAGTGCAGTCAGAACTTAGTTCTGAAGAGGGATCACTGGACTCGAATCACTAACTCTGCTTTCTGTCTCTCCACAGTTGCTGCTAGACATGCTGAGTTTCTCAAGAAAATTCTATTGCTTTTTTATCTATTTAAAATCCAGTGTTTTCCCTCCCCTTGTGTGTGTTTGGCATTTCAAGCTCCTCTCAAAGATTCCCAAATGTCTTGCAGGATTTTGCTCCTACCCGCCTTTTGGGTGGTGAGTTCCAAATGCCCACTACCCTCTGGGTGAAAATCTCCTAAATTCCTCTATAAATCTCCAGCCCCTTTCTATAAACTGCATTCCCTAGTTATTGACCTCTCTAAGGGGGAACAGTTTCTCCCTATCCAACGCTACCAGTTACATTGTAAAACAATTTTCTGCACATGTGGATATCTGACATAGAAACAGACAAGCCAAAAATCTTTCAACAGTCAAATAGTTGCTATGGAGAGAGGGAAAAAAAATGATATTTTAGGATCAATGATCTTTCACCAAGTTATTAATTATTTCTCTCCACAGTTAGTATGATTTGCTGAGTATTTAAATTTTTCTTGTTTTTTCATTTCAGATTTCCAACATCTGCAGTATTTTGCTTTTGTTAGCCTAACTTAAAGCATTGTTACAGGTTAGAAACCATTAAGTATTTTTTAATCAAAAGATTAACCAGCAAATAGTAAGCCATATAATACAATTTTTCAATACAAATTGTAAATGCATGTTCAAGTAGACAAAATAATAAAGTTATTGAAATACTGGCTATTTCAAAAGAGAGAATGAGAATGTTGAAACATAACAGTAAATCTGTATAAAGAATAATGGAGCTCCCAACTGCAGATCAAGAGACTAAATACAGATTTTTTTTGTGTACATGTGGGACTAGTATTTATTGGAACAGCTTACCATTAGAATCTTGCTTTATTCGGAAATAGTCATTAGAAGGGATTTATTAGGTTTGTTAATAGTTTAGTGAATTTGTTCACTGTTAGTGTTAGACAAATAAATTGTTAGTTTTTTTTTTAAAGTGAGTGTCAAGAATTTATTTTATTTAACCACTAAAAGTTGCCGACAGGCAGGTTACACCACTTTCCACACTCGTTTTACAGATTCTAGGATGAGATGCTCCTCGGGTGTTTCAGTCTTAGTCCTTGGGGATTAACCTCCGCTTTATAACAAAGTGGTAGAGGCTGGTACATTTACAACATTTAAAAGACATCTGGATGAGAATGTGAATAGGAAGGGTTTAGAGGGATTATAGACCAATTGCTGGCAAATGCAACTAGATTAATTTAGGAAATCTGATCAGCATGGATGTGTGGGACCAAAGGGTCTGTTTCCGTGCTGTACATCTGACTTCCTCTGGCAGTTCATTGAATACATACACCACCCTCTGCATGAAAACATTGCCCTTAGGTCCCTTTTAAATCTTTCCACTGTCACCTTAAACCTATGCCCTCTAGTCTTGGACTCCCCTACCCTGAGGAAAAGACTTTGACTATTCACCCTATCCAGGCTCTTCATGACTTTATAACCCTCTGTAAGGTCAGCCTCTCAAGGAAAATAGCCCTAGCCTATTCAGCATCTCCCTATAGCTCAACCTGGCAACATCCTTCTAAATCCCCCTCAAGTTTCACAACCACTTTCCTATATCAGGGAGAGCAGAATTGAATGCAGTATTCCAAAAGTGGCCTGACCAATGTCATGCACAGCTGCAACATGACCTCCCAAATCCTATACACAATGCACTGACCCAAAAAAAGTTGAGTGTACCAAATTCCTTCTTCACTACCCTGGCTACCTGTGACTCCACTTTGCAAGAACTATGAACCTGCACTCCAAGGTTTCTTTGTTTAGCAGTACTTCCCAACCATTAAGTGTATAAGTCATGCCCTGATTTGCTCTACCAAAATGTAGTACCTCACATTTATCTAGATTCAACTCCATTTGCTACTACTCAGCCCATTGTCCCATCTAATCGCAGTCCCATTGTACTCCCTGGTAACCTTCTTCACTGTCCACTATGCATCCAATTTTGGTGTCATCTGCAAGCATATCTCCTATATTCACATCCAAATCATTTATATACATAACAAAAAACAGTGGACCCAGCACCGATCCCTGCAGCACACTGCTGGTCGCAGACCTCCAGCCTGAAAAGCAACCCTCCACCACCACCCTATGTCTTCTACTTTCAAGTCAATTTTGTATTGCAATGGCTAGTTCTCCCTGTATTGCATGTAATGTAATCTTGTTAACCAGTTGACCTTGTCAAACGCCTTACTGAAGTCCATATAGGCAACATCCAATGCTCTGCCTTTATCAATCTTCTTCATCACTTCTTCAAAAAACTTAATCAAGTTAGACACGGTTTCCCACATGTTGACTATCCCTAATTAGTCCTTTCCTTTCAAAATACATGTAAATCCTGTCCCTCAGATTCCCCTCCAACAACTTGGTCACCATTGATGTCAGGCTCACAGGTCTATAGTTCCCTTGATTTTTTTTACCACCTTTCTTATGGTGGTATTTCTAAATTTATTCAGTTGAAGGGAAATCTGCTAAAAAATAAACTCAGTTGAAGGAAATCTAGCTAAGGACAAGCTGCCCACTGTTGTCTCATTTCTCAATCCTCTTTCTTGAGTTAGCAGTAAAGTGTATTTGTTCTTTTAAAGACAGATTGAAGAAACATCTCAAAATTGTATTTCCTGAGCAAACAGATTCTGCAAGACTTCAAGGCAACTATTCAGAGCAACACACTCCACAACATTCTATGCTTTATTCTTCTGCCTTCAATTCATTGACCAAAGTGCTATTTTTTTCATAAAGCAGCGATTTTGGATTTTTGTTTATTTTTTTTCTCTCTCTTTCTGAAGTAAGTGAGTGCCTATGCACGTATTTTGTGGATGTTTAGAGAGATAAGCATTTATACTTATATATTACTTACTGTGCATGTCAACTGATGATTGATTGAATTTTTTTGATTAAATGTTGTTATGACAAACTAATAGTTGTCTTTTATTAGGAAATTATTTATAGATCTTGTTGTTTAAAACCTGAGATATTTAATTGGTCACCATTCATGAATCCTCAGATGCTGAAGCAGTTCATGTCCAAATGCAGCTAGACTTGGACAGTATTCAGGCTTGTGCTGCCAAGTGGCAAATAATATTTGCCAGGCATTGACAATATCCAACAGGAGAGAATCTAACCATCACTCAGTGACATTCAATGATGCTTCCACTCTCTGAATTCCCCCATAACAACCATTGACCAGAAACTAAATTGGACTAATCTCAAAAATACTGTAGCTACAATAGTAGATCAGTTGCAGGGAACAATTTACCTCCTGCCTCCCTAAAGCTTGTCCACCATCTACAAGGCACAAGTCAGGAGTGTAATGGAATACTCTCCACACACCTGGATGAGTGCAGCTCCAACAACGCTCAAGAAGCCTGACCCTAGCGAGACGAAGCAGCTTGCTTGATTAGCATGATATAAACAGTCATTCAATCCACTGCCGATGCAAAGTAGCAGCCGAGTGTATCATCTAAAAGGTGCACTGCAGAAATTCAGCAAGGATCCTTAGGTAGCATCTTTTTAAACACATGAACGCTGCCATTGAGAATGACAAGGGCGCACATACAAAAGAACACCATCACCTGCAAAGTCCTCTCAAAGCCACTCATCATCCTGATTTAAAAATGCCATTTTTTTAATGTGGCTGGGTCAAAATCCTGGAACTCCCTAACAGCACTGAGGGTTTACAAATAGACTGCAGCAGTTAAGAAGACACCTCAGCACCATCTTCTGAATGGCAATAAATGTTGGCCCAGACAGTGAAATCCACATTTCCTGAATGAAAAAGGAAAAAAATCTCATTGCCTTGAAATGTATTTTTATTTTATGTTGTGACTCATGGAATATTAGGACTGGAGCAATTTAGCTGTCCTCAAGCCTCAGTTCAAACACTATGTATCAAAAAATAATTAGTGTGTGAATTAGAAATTTGAGTATCAGTGTATTTGGATTAATAAAGGTACCATCAGTCATATGTTAAACCAAGCCACTCTCATAATCTTTAGCTTTGAATTCTCTTTTTGCCCCCATATTCTACAGTGCAACATTACAGTGAAATAGGTTTGATATGGAAACCTGAACCAACGTTATTTTTGAACTCACATGCTTATATGGTGTGAGTAGATTTAAAAGAACAGTTGAATCACCTCTAATTTTCACTCCCTTCTTCACCGATGTACAGTGGCAGCAATGTGTACCATCTACAAGTGCACAGTAGCAACTCACTCATCCTCCTTCAGTAGCATCTTCTATATCTAAGGCCTTGACCACTGAAAAGAACAAAAGTAGTAGCTGCATGGGAACACCACCTGCAAGCTCCCATACCACACCACATACCATCCTGACTTGGAGCTATATCGCTATTCCTTTACTGTAACTGGGGCAAAGTCCTGAAACTCCCTTTCTAATTAGACTGAGTGTACCTCAGGACCCAGCCAGTAGGGTTCAAGATGCCTCAATAATTGGGACTTGGGGGTGAGTCACTTGTTCTCAGGGCGGAGGTTTGGGACTGCTATGCTTGGGTTAGAACCACTATGTTCAGGTTGGAGATGGCATTGCTGTGCTCATATTCGAGGAGCTGTGCCAGGAGCAGAGCTGGATGCGCATAATTTCTGCCCCTGGCCCTGGTGCACCTACACCCCAAAAGGAGTTCGGTAATTCATGACTGCAGCTCATGACGACTTTCTCAAGGGCAATTAGGAATGGAAAATTTGTGCTGGCCCCATTCTCATGAACTATATCATTGTTCCTCCACTGTTGCTGGATCAAAATCCTTCAACTGCTTACTTGACAACAGTGCAGATGTACCTAAACCAGGAACTTGGTATTATCACTGGACTGTTATCCCAGAAACCTAGGTAACCTGGGTTCGAATCCCACCGTGGCAGATGGTGGAATTTGAATTCAATAAGTACCTGGAATTAAGAGTCTAATAATGACCATGAATCCATTGCTGATTGTCAGGAAAAATCCATCTGGTTCACTAATATCCGTTAGGGAAGGAAACTGCCATCCTTACCTGGTTTGCCCTACATGTGACTCAAGACCCAAAGCAATGTGGTTGATTCTTAGATAACAAGGTGTAGAGCTGGATGAACACAGCAGGCCAAGCAGCATCAGAGGAGCAGGAAAGCTGACGTTTCGGGCCTAGACCCTGCTTCAGAAATGGGGGAGGGGAAGGGGATTCTGAAGTAAATAGGGAGAGAGGGGAAGGCAGATAGAAGATGGATAAAGGAGAAGGTAGGTGGAGAGGAGACAGACAGGTCAAAGGCCTGCTGTGTTCATCCAGCTCTACACCTTGTTATCTCAGATTCTCGAGCATCTGCAGTTCCTACTATCTCTGGTTGATTCTTAACTGTCTCTGGGTAATTGTGGATGGGCAATAAATGCTGCCTAGTCAGCGATGGCCTCATCCTATGAATGAATAAAGGGAAAAAAAAAACTTACTAACACCTTCTAAAGGGGCAATTAGCATCGTAACAATTGCTGGACCTATCATGACATTCACACCACAGCAAAGAATAAAAAGTAACAGATGAAGGAATTTCTAGTGTAGATTACATTCAGTGCAAATTGACTTTTTGCCAATTATTATACCAGTTGAAAATTTGTCTTCAGTTAGCTATAATGGAAGATTGGCAAGGCAAAACTAACAGAACAATAAGTTGCCTTTAAAGAGGAAATGATTCAGATAAAATTGAGTTACATTCCCAGGGGACAGATTGAGCAAACAATGACGGAGTTCCATGGATAATGAAAGAGATAGAGAATAAAATAAAGCAATAAAAGGGTGCAAATGACAGATATCAGGTTGACAGTTCATGTGGGAATCCGGTGAAATATAAATTGTTCAGAGGAGAAATGAAAAAGAAATTAAGGAGAACAAAGAGAGACAATAAGAAGAGACTGGCAGTCTACAAATTAGGAGTAGGAGAAGACTTTTCGGCTTCTCAAACCTGCTCTATATCCTTCCTACCTCGATAACGTTTCACTCCCTTGCTTATCAAACCTCTGCCAGAAAAATATTCAAAGACTCTGCTTTCTTGAAGGAAGGGAGTTCAAGACTCCTCACCCTCTGAAAAAGAAATTCTCTTCCTCTTAAATGGACAACCTGCTATTATCTTGACAATGTCCCTAGTTCTAGATTATCCCACAAGAGAGAAAATCCTTTCCGCCCTGTTAAGAGACTTCAGAATCTTAAATATTTCAATCAACTCGCCTGTTGGTCTTCTAAACTCCAATGAATAGTAGTCTAATCTGTCCATCCTTTCCACATAAAAAAATCTCAAGGTTACTCCAGTCATGGCCTTACCAATGCCCTGTATAAGTGATGTATAACCCTACATTTGTGTTGCACAAAATAAATAATCACCTGGACAAATGCAGATAAAATGATAACACTTACATATACTTGTTCGAGGCAAATCAGGTAGACAAAGCTCAAATGTGCTTTTTGATGAGGTAAAAGGAAGGATTGTTGAGGGAATGCAGTTGATGTAGTTTAAATGAACTTCTGATATTTATCAGTAAACTGCCATGAAATAGACTTATCACAAAACTGAACCCAAAGGATAAAAGAAACTGTGGCAGCATAGATTGGAGGTTGGCTCAGTGACAGAACAATCAGAGAGCAGTTGTAGACCATTGTTTGTGGCACTGGCAAACATATAGTAAGGTTCCCTGATGGTTCACATTAATTACCATTCCAGCAATAATACTAAAGGCTTATAGTCCAGAACTTGCCATGATCCTAGCCAAGCCATTCCAGTACAGCTACAACACTGGAACAGACATGGCAATGTGGAAAATTGCTTAGTTATGTCTCATACGTCAAAAGCAGGAAAAATCCAACTCCCAATTACTGTCTCATCAGTCTACTCTCAATTATCAGCAAAATGATGGAGGCTGCAAAAATGCAACATTTGCTTCGCAATAACCTACTCACTGACACTCAATATGTGTTCCACTAGGGCCATTCATTTCCTGACCTCATTACAGCCGTAATTCAAGCATGGACAAAAGAAGTCCAGAGGTTAGGTGAAAGTAACTTCCCTTGACATCAAGGCTGCATTTAACCAAGTGTAGCATCAAGGAGCATCAAGTTATAGGGTAAGGTCTGGGTGGGATGTGCTTCTTTTGGTATGGACTCAATGGGCCAAGTGACCTGCTTCCACACTGTACAGACACGAAGAAAAATCAGAATCAACCTACCTGTTACTTTAAACAAATCAGTTATCATCAAAATGCTACATTCTCCATTATAATGCCCGTAGAAATCAAAGACTTGCCAACAATCAACACATTTTTCCCATACAATATAAAGATGTTATTTGCATTACCTCTTCACATTGGTGTGTGTGCAAACATCCTGATGAGTGCAAGACAAAAAGCTTGGTTAAAATGTAGCTTTATTCAGCAATTCTCATAAAGGGAAAAATAGTGCACGAGAGAAAACATCTAAGAAATATAAAAAACAGACAGTAAAAAATATTGGCAAGTATATTAAAAGGATTAGCTAAAGTAAGCATTGGAACATTAGTCAGGGAATTAACAAATGGGAAACAAGGAAATGCCGTTTTGAGCAAGACTTGTTTAATGTTCACGGTAGAAAACACAACAAATATCCAATAAATGCTAGAAAAGCCCAGGAGAAGGGAAGTGAGGAACTTCTTCCAAAACTCCATAATTCTTCCCAAGCTTCATAGATTCTGAAAAGATCATAGTGGATTGGAAAAGTGCAAACGTAACGAGCAAAAAAGGAGAGCAATAGAAAACAAAAAACTTTAAATCAGTTTGCTTAACATCTGTCATTGGGAAAGTGCTGGAATTGATTATCACATTGTTAATAACAGGACATTTACAAAATCAGAATACAAATCAGCAGAGACAATATTGTATTGTGAAAGGAAAATCATGTTGAACAAACTAA